CCCAACACACCGGCGTGCCCCGGTGAAAAAAATCCAGACAATACTCCTCACCTGTGTCCTCCGCAGCGAAGCATGCCACTCTGCACGAAGCATACTTGTTCTGATCTTCCTCAGCATGCTTTCTGAATCAGTTACGATGTGTGTGTGTCGTGTTCTCTAGCCAGCGGAAAGCTGCAGTGACCGCATCCACCTCCAATCTTAAGCTAGATGTTGTGGTAGCAAAAGCTAGGCTCTCCTGTACCAAACGTTGACAATTAACTTTTGCTAAGAAGCCCCAAGCACTTCTTTTGCCTTTGGACACTGAACTATATGTGTAAATGATCAAATTCTTTGAGCGAGCATTATCTTGAATTAATTTATGAATTTCCACCTCTGTGGCACCTGCTGACCAGTCTCTGCATTCCCGGCTCAGCGTGTTTATGACTCTACACAAGTCTGACTGCTCAGGTGGCACTTTTACCCACTCTTCTCCTCGCCTGATGTTCTCAAGAATTCAAACCTGTCTGATTATGTCTTCTGCCTGAGCCATCCATGACCTCCCTCTTATCAGCCGCTGATCCTTAACTGCACTCAGAGCTTCATGCAGAGGGTGGTCTTTGTCTGCAGCTACCCTGAGATATGACTTCGCTTGCAGCACCTTGTGCCTACCTGCAACCGTCGGCAAACCGAGGATGTATCGCATACACACTTCTTGGGTGTCTCTGGTGCAACCTAGAAGGAATAGCATAGCCGCGTTCTGTATGCGCTCTCTAGTTTGTCCATCTACTCTTTGAAACGGTAAGCAGTCCCAGGCCATAAAAAATCACTGACAGAATCAGGTGCTGATATAGCGTGAAAAGCATTATCTGCTCTATGTCAATTGCAGCCATAGTCTTAAGTGCACTAAGTCCTTTTTGGCATCTCGTCACAACACTCTCCACATGGTCCTTAAATGACAGGCTCCTGTCAAATGTACTTCCCAGATACTTCAGTTTGCTCTCTCTGTTGACGTTTCTACCTTCTATCGTGAGACTTGGGGCATTGGCTTTAACGACTCTGTTGTCCAGAGAACACCACAAAACAGACGCCTTTTCCTCATTTCTGTACACCACTCAGTCACTTTGTCTACTGTCGCTTGGGTTACAACCTGATATCAGTGAGATGACGAAAGAAGCGAAATGTAGCGTACAGTTGCTTGGCAACATCTAGAAAGAGCTGGCAATTTAGTTTGACGTAAACAAGAAGAGGCAAAAAAAAAAAAAAACGACACACACTTCATACACCCTTGTAGTTATTTCATGACAAAGGTTTATAATCTGTTTTATTTAAAGTTTTGTTCATATCTGTATTAATGCATATCGATAGTTTCTTTTATTTTAGCTTGTAATGGTGTACGAAAACATAAGCTGAAACAGGAAGACCAACCAAATAAACAAGGCAGTTTTCTGCATTTGATCGTTTGCAGGCTCAAGTTTGAGACAAAAGTCGTTTTAATTTTAGTTGTACTAACTTCTGGTAATCACATTCTAATAAATATAGAGATCAAATGACTGCTAGACTTTATTATTTGATGAATTTTTGTGATTTAAAACTCATTCGGCGTAATTATGGTCTATCATCTAATTCTAAATCGAAGCAGCTGATGACTAAAAAAGGACCGTTTTTTTTGATACGACGACCACGACGGATTAGTATTACTATTAGTAGTCCGATTATGAAAATCATTTTTTTAATGTTGAAAAAGAAGGATGGGGGGGGGGGGGGGGTGTAGTTTGGGCAGTTTATGCATGTAGGGCCATTGACGTTGAAGAAATTGGTTCTTTGACTACTACTAGTAACTACAGGAGCGGAGCAAAGATTGGGCAACCCGTTTGCTATGAAGCTGAAACTAAGACTACCAGACTACTAGAAACTCCACACCTCATCTCGCTCTCACGCTCTCTCATCTCTCTCTCTCTCTCTCTCTCTCTCTCTCTCTCTCTCTCTCTCTCTCTCTCTCTCTCTCTCTCTCTCTCTCTCTCTCTCTCTCTCTCTTAAAATGATTAGTATTAGGCTTGGAACCATTAACATTTTACTGTTCAGTTTAATTTTGTGCCATATTATAATTAATGATTAATGCCTGTCTTTTTAAATTACGAACTAGTTACATTTATATGTGAATTCAGTTTCAGTTATTTGAGTATTTAACTGCTGGGAGCCACCACAGTGGCGAGATGCTTTCTTACTTTCCAGACTTGCCTGGCAGCTCCCATGTCTTGGGTTTGAGTCCGCATGATGGTGGATTTTCCTATTTAACTTGGGCTGCTGGGGTTAACGCAGACTATAAACTAGGGACCAGGAAATGTCATATCTTGATGCTGACTACCTCTCCCACCCATTGAGTAGTTCTGTATGATTGTAGGTCTCTGGCATCTTATGACATGAAAGAATTGGGTTCTTGTCCTTAACTACTACTAGTTTCGAGCGATAAACTACTCGAAACACTCCACAATTCATCTCTCTCTCTCTCTGTAAGTATGTGGATCTGTGTGTGTGTATTTAGGTATGTATATGTTTATGTAAGTATGTGAGTGTATGTATGGATGTGTGTATGTATGTGGGTGTATGTCTTGCTTTGGGATCATACTTTCTTACACTGATCTGTTATCTTTTCTGCCTGGTGTTTCAGAGCAATACTGGCACTAATGACATCATTTCCCAATGAACCACAATCTCTCATACCACGAGTCAGCATATGCTGTACATCAGCGGTATGAGGACACAGCTCTGGTCATCTTTCACCAGCTACAGAAAGCCAAAAAGGGTGGGGCTCAGGGAACCTCCATCGGGTCTTTTGGTGCAAGGTTCAAGCCTCAGCAAGGTGGTGGAGTTCTTCGTCCCAGTGATATTGCCATCTCTAGCCCGATGAAGTCTACAGATCATATGATGTCTCAGAGCAAGGTCTGCCAGATTATTTAAAAAGGGAAACACTGAAGGTTAAATATAGACCTGTAGTATCGCCAGTAATAAGTCTTGATTGGATATCATTTCATCTACTTTTTGTTTTCTAAACTCACTAAACTAAAGTGTCAGCTGTTTGCATCATTGTTTATAATAACTGTGAGCAGTTTTAGCTTTTGCTTTCTTACATGGCTTCTTGTTGTGTTAGTTGTTTTTATAGTCTTAGCTTTCTAACATATAGTTAGATCAGTTTAATAGTTTTAAATCTTTAGCACTACTATAGTCATATTATATAGATCTGTTTAATAGTTTCAAATCTATAACACTACTATAGTCATATTATATAGCTCTGTTTCCTAGTGTTTCCAAAACTTTTCTTAGTCACTGCACTTTTTTCAATTACAATTTTTCCACGCCGCCCAAATGTAAGTAAAAGTATGACAATTCATATGTAAGAGATATAAAAATAATAAAACTTTGAATATGTGAAGAGATTGTGGTGCACAGTTTGGGAATCACTGTCTTAGAGGTTAATGAATGTGTCTAGCATTTTCATGATCTTTCAGTACTAGGTTTTGATTTCTGCAGTGGACAGTTTATTTTATTTAAAAAAAAAAAAACCTATTCCTTTAGTATGAGAGTCACACTGAGAACCCAACTGAGGCTCACATTATATTCTCAAAGACAAGTTAGTGCACTGTAACCAGCATTCATTGTGAAGAGGGTGCTCTGAAGGTCATGGGTTCGTTAAGCGGGTGGACCTTCAGTTCACGAGTGCAGTTTTCAGGGAGATCCCTAGGAATCATCACTAGAGCTAGGGAGTTCTTGCTCTATTTGATAATCTCAGCAGGTGGCTAGCCATTCTGCGGAGAGAGACAGAGCCATGTGAGATAAAAGCCAGTGCAAATGAAGTCTGTCCTCTCGACTTTAACATTTTAAACATTTTATATTTCAGTAGTTTCCTAATTAAAAATGTCAAGCACTACTTCTAATCATGTTGAAGCATTTTAAAGTTGTTACTTTCTTCCATAACCTATAGTTAGAATCATTGTATATAGGGATTCTTTTCTTTATCTTTGTGTCACATTAAATGAAATTTAGTCTAAATGTTTAGCATTGTTTATGATAGCAATAATGTCTTCTATAACAAATGTCATACAAAATTATACGATCATTAATAATTCTAAAAATTAATCAGAGGCCACTGCAGTCGTGCAGTCACTAGAGTGCTTGTCAGGTGGTTGTATTAAATCCTCATTGTCGCTATGTTCATTAGGGAAGTACAGAAAGAGGGGGGGGGGGGGGGGGGGGTTTGAATAGTGTTGTATAAGGCATCTAATTGGTGGTTATATGGAATCAGATGTGTTGGATCCAAAGGTGCAGATATCACAGCCTAGCTATAAATCACAACACAATTTGCCAGCCCGCCCTTTGTATCTTTTGTCTTTGCCAAGCCTAAAGTTAAATCCTTTGATGGCTGAAGCCATGCAGTGCCTAAAGTTTTAATGAAAAGATTTCAAACCAGATGAAAAGTAGAACCAGTCAGCTTCACAATAACACAAACAGCTTGCAGTGAACTTTGCAGCTAGAAAGCCTTCGTCAGCACATACATAAATCTACAATACGACGAATACGAGTGAGAATACACAAAATATCTGCAATAGAAACGACATTTTTGCCTGGCCAGAAGAATGTGGATTAAAGTTCTTATGCACTGTAGTTAAATGTGCAAATCTTAGTAGATGTAATAGAAACTCCAGACAGAAGTGAGTACAAAAAGAGGCTCAATTCATCAGAAATCCCCCTTCACCAAATGTATACTTGTTGTGTATTTTTTTTTAATCCACACTTCTGACTGTACTAACATAGTCATTTATGACTCTTCTCTTTGTTTTCCTACAGAGTAGACACAAGTAACTCAACTTCCATAGTGGGTTTGTACATGAACTAGCAGCTCCGTCTCCTGCTTGACAGTGTTAGCTCTTGTGTATATTTTGCCTGAGGAGTTGACTGATTGACATATTAATGAACTGAATCCCAGGAGTTATTTTATTATTGGTAGATTTGAGAAAAGAGTTGGTATGGAGCTTCATCCTGTTCTGGAGCTGGGCTGTGCTCCATCGCCTAACTGGTGGTATGTTTTGTCACTTTCTGGAGAAGGCCCTTCGATGAGGGTTGGTCATTCTGCTACATTTGTTTCTGCCCTTCACACTGATGAGCATGACAAGGTTTTCATCATTGGAGGGGCAAATCCAGAACAGGTGTTTAGTGAGGTGTACATTCTAGATCTTCATCTAAGATCATGGGACACCCTGGAAGCTTCAGGGTTTAGGGGCAGATATGAACATGCTGCCTTTCAAGTAGAGAATCATCCAGGGATGATATTTGTTTTTGGTGGTGCTACCCAGACTGGGAGTTTAAATGATGTTCAGAGTCTGGATGTTTCAGCGGGGATGTGGTCAAATGTTGAGGTGTCAGGGACACCCCCTGCACCTCGTACACACCACAGCTCCTCGGTCATTGGTCCGAAAGTTTACTTCTACAGTGGTGGTCATCAGGGTGCAGATCCTGTTGGGGATAGGCGACTCCATTGTTTGGATACCTCCACAATGACCTGGTTCAACATGGCTCCTCTAGGAGAGCCTCCCAAGCCGCGCCATGGGCATCTAATGGTTTCCTGCAATAGCCGCATCTTCCTTCATGGCGGCATGTCTGGCTCGACATTCTACGATGATCTCCACATCTTTGACGCTAACCGAAACTCTTGGTCACTTGTTAAAAGGAAAAAGACATTTCCTTCACCCAGGGCTGCTCATGGAGGTGTTGTCCACAACAAGGAGATCTATCTGTTTGGTGGGATGAACAAAAATGGGGCACTGGCAGATGGATACAAATTGAACACAGGTATTTGCGTATAGATAGATAAAATACTTTTCTAAACATGTAAGTGTTCTCTCACTTCTCATGCTTTTGTTTAACAGGTAAAACCAATGTGTGTGTATGTCTGTGTGTATATAAATTTGGGTGTATGTTTTTCCCAAAAATGTGTTTCACAATTCTCGGCATACTGAGGTTCGATTTCTGTGATAGACGGTTTAGAAAAAAGACCGTTCTAGTTATGTTTGAACAGTGCGATGAGAGTCACACCTGAGGTCACAGAATTGAACAAATTGCAATCACACCTTTACCCGGAGGGCTTATCATGAATTAATTATAATAAATGTTGTACTAGAGGGATTTTTTTAAAACTATAGAAATTTGTATGTGCATGTGTGTGCTTATGTGTGTGTAGAGAGAGAGTTAAAATTTGACTCAAATTAGGAAACTTTAATCACTAAAACTGTCTTTGTGGTGTATGTAAAGGGGGGGGGGGGCATGAGGTTTAAAGGCAGCACAGGTTGAAGCAGTCACCGTGGGCTGCTGGTTGGGATTTCATTTTTGCCCCTGACAGAAAATATAGTGACATACGTAAACTGAACTAATATGTCAACATGTTATTGTGTGTATGTAATATGTCTGAAAGTTCATTTTGATGCCTTGTTGCTGTCCTTCCCTCTTTCTTCTCTCTCTCTCTCTCTCTCTCACACATCTGCACATGTATGCATACACACGCACATTTACACAAATATTAGTTTACAGCTGACTGTTAGTTCATTTTCACTTTACAATCTTAAAGACTGTGTTGACCACTTTTGTGGTGTAGGTGGGAGGGGAGGGGGAGGTGATATTTTCTCCAGGTAATGCTGGGGTATTGGGAAATGAGCAGGCAGATAGACTGGCTGGCATGGCCTCACTTGGTGGTGAATTCATGTATGACAAGTTAGATATTGTAAGGGCCCTTTGGGAGCGAGTAAACAGTGCAGAATCCCTCAGAAAATTATCAACTTAGTAAAGGCAACATATAAAGACATGAAATGTCGAGTTCTTCATGAGGGAAAGCTAACAGATGCATTTGAAATAAAAACAGGTATCCGACAGGGATGTCTTTTGTCGCCTCTTCTATTTTTACTGGCTATAGACTGGACTATGAAAACAGTAACTGCTAACACCAAGAATGGAATTCAGTGGACCCCTACAAAACAGCTTGATGATCTGGACTTCGCTGATGATATTGCCCTTCTGTCCCATTCACGGAATCAGATACAAGATAAATTAAATATACTTAATGCGAGATCACAGCAGCTTGGTCTGAAAATCCATAAAGGAAAGACAAAGATAATGAGAATAAATCAGGCAAATAGTAATGTGGTTTCTCTTAATGGCACCCCACTCCAAGACGTGGAGTCGTACACCTATTTGGGCAGTAATGTAGATAAAGATGGAGGAACTGATAGAGATATTAAAATAAAAATACAAAAGGCAAGAGGGGCTTTCATAGCACTAGGGAATTTGTGGAGGTCAAAAGAAATTAAAAGAAATACTAAACTAAAAATTTTTAATTCTAATGTCAAATCAGTACTATTGTATGGGGCGGAAACATGGAGAACAACGAAGGCAATTACTAATAAATTACAGACATTCTTTAACTAGTGTCTGCGCAGAATAGAGGGAATAAAATGGTATGATAGAATAACTAATGTAGAACTTTGGGAGAGAACTAAACAGGCTTCAGTGGATAAGGAGGTGAGGAAAAGACTCTGGCGTTGGATAGGGCACACACTGAGAAAACAGGAGAACAGCAAAACTAGAATGTCTTTGCATTGGAACCCACAGGGGCATAGGAATAAAGGAAGGCCAAAAAACACATGGAGAAGAGAGCTGGAGAATGAGGTTAGAAAGATTGGGAGGACATGGGGAGAGCTCCAGGTAATGGCGAAGGATAGAACGACTTGGCGTGAGTTGGTTGAGGGCCTATGCTCCATTGGGGGATAGAAAGGCAGAAGAAGAAGAAGAAACAGTGCAGAGGCTCAGATAGATCATTACAGTCTGCAAGGAGTTACGAGGGGATCTGGTTGACGCTCAACACTCAGGGGAAAGATCAAACGGATGTACAATCAGACAGTTACTATTACCATCGAAATTGGAACTCTTCGCTTTCTGCTGAAGATGGGGACGGAGCACTTATGGAAGTGTCTTGAATGCTGTGATGATAATTCTTAATTCAACCTTTGGAGACAAACATTTGTGTGAGGGTATGCTTGCTGGTCATACAGAGAGAGAAAAGGAGAGAGGGGAAGAGGAGTACTTCCTAGAAAGTTACTGCATCTAATTACAACTTTCTCCTTTACTCTTACATTGGAATAGTCACTGATTTGTCATAACACTTTATTGGGAGCATTTATGGGAATGCTGTGATGTTGGTTCTTGAATCAAATCAACACAACTCAACTCTCTATTGTTATTGTTTAAATATAGTGAACTTTTTTGAAAGAAATATACATATTTCAATTATTTCATTCTTGCTTTCTTTCTTTCTTTTTGTTTCATGCAGAAAATAATTCCTGGTCAAAGATAGAATTTGAGAAACCTACCCCACCAAACCGACTAGACTTTGCCATGTGCACAATCAAACTCAAGGTGCCTGTCCATAGTTCAACATCTCAGCAGGACTTGCAGACAGATCTGACCAGTGCTTGTTCCAAAACCCTTCAGGTTCTTGAGCGAGAGCTGAAGCCTGGCAGTGCCAGTTCTCGAGATTCTCTCTCTGACAGTGATATTAGTAAGTTGACTTCACTGTTGTTAGTCTGACTGTAATGTTAGGGAGTTGTTGACTTCACTGTTGTATAGATGTTCCTTAGTCTGACTGTAATGTTAGTGAGTTGTTGACTTAACTGTTGTATAGATGTTCCTTAGTCTGACTGTAATTTTAGTGAGTTGTTAACTTCACTGTTGTATAGATGTTCCTTAGTCTGACTGTAATGTTAGTGAGTTGTTGACTTTACTGTTGTATAGATGTTCCTTAGTCTGACTGTAATGTTAGGGAGTTGTTAACTTCACTGTTGTATAGATGTTCCTTAGTCTGACTGTAATGTTAGTGAGTTGTTGACTTCACTGTTGTATAGGTGTTCCTTACTCTGACTGTAATTTTAGTGAGTTGTTGACTTGACTGTTGTATAGATGTTCCTTACTCTGACTGTAATGTTAGTGAGTTGTTGACTCCACTGTTGTATAGATGTTCCTTACTCTGACTGTAATGTTAGTGAGTTGTTGACTTCACTGTTGTATAGATGTTCCTCACTCTGACTGTAATGTTAGTGAGTTGTTGACTTCACTGTTGTATAGATGTTCCTTACTCTGACTGTAATGTTAGTGAGTTGTTGACTTCACTATTGTATAGATGTTCCTTAGTCTGACTGTAATGTTAGTGAGTTGTTGACTTTACTGTTGTATAGATGTTCCTTACTCTGACTGTAATGTTAGTGAGTTGTTGACTTCACTGTTGTATAGATGTTCCTTACTCTGACTGTAATTTTAGTGAGTTGTTGACTTCACTGTTGTATAGATGTTCCTTAGTCTGACTGTAATGTTAGTGAGTTGTTGACTTTACTGTTGTATAGATGTTCCTTACTCTGACTGTAATGTTAGTGAGTTGTTGACTTCACTGTTGTATAGATGTTCCTTAGTCTGACTGTAATGTTAGTGAGTTGTTGACTTCACTGTTGTATAGATGTTCCTTACTCTGACTGTAATGTTAGTGAGTTGTTGACTTCACTGTTGTATAGATGTTCCTTACTCTGACTGTAATTTTAGTGAGTTGTTGACTTCACTGTTGTATAGATGTTCCTTACTCTGACTGTAATGTTAGTGAGTTGTTGACTTCACTGTTGTATAGATGTTCCTTACTCTGACTGTAATGTTAGGGAGTTGTTGACTTTACTGTTGTATAGATGTTCCTTAGTCTGACTGTAATGTTAGGGAGTTGTTGACTTCACTGTTGTATAGATGTTCCTTACTCTGACTGTAATGTTAGTGAGTTGTTGACTTTACTGTTGTATAGATGTTCCTTAGTCTGACTGTAATGTTAGTGAGTTGTTGACTTCACTGTTGTATAGATGTTCCTTACTCTGACTGTAATGTTAGTGAGTTGTTGACTTCACTGTTGTATAGATGTTCCTTACTCTGACTGTAATGTTAGGGAGTTGTTGACTTTACTGTTGTATAGATGTTCCTTAGTCTGACTGTAATGTTAGGGAGTTGTTGACTTTACTGTTGTATAGATGTTCCTTAGTCTGACTGTAATGTTAGGGAGTTGTTGACTTAACTGTTGTATAGATGTTCCTTACTCTGACTGTAATGTTAGTGAGTTGTTGACCTAACTGTTGTATAGATGTTCCTTAGTCTGACTGTAATGTTAGGGAGTTGTTGACTTTACTGTTGTATAGATGTTCCTTAGTCTGACTGTAATGTTAGTGAGTTGTTGACTTAACTGTTGTATAGATGTTCCTTACTCTGACTGTAATGTTAGGGAGTTGTTGACTTTACTGTTGTATAGATGTTCCTTACTCTGACTGTATTGTTAGTGAGTTGTTGACTTCACTGTTGTATGAATGTTCCTTACTCTGACTGTAATGTTAGTGAGTTGTTGACTTCACTGTTGTATAGATGTTCCTTACTCTGACTGTAATGTTAGTAAGTTGTTGACTTCACTGTTGTATAGATGTTCCTCACTCTGACTGTAATGTTAGTGAGTTGTTGACTTCACTGTTGTATGAATGTTCCTTACTCTGACTGTAATGTTAGTGAGTTGTTGACTTCACTATTGTATAGATGTTCCTCACTCTGACTGTAATGTTAGTGAGTTGTTGACTTCACTGTTGTATGAATGTTCCCTACTCTGACTGTAATGTTAGTGAGTTGTTGACTTCACTGTTGTATAGATGTTCCTCACTCTGACTGTAATGTTAGTGAGTTGTTGACTTCACTGTTGTATGAATGTTCCCTACTCTGACTGTAATGTTAGTGAGTTGTTGACTTCACTATTGTATAGATGTTCCTCACTCTGACTGTAATGTTAGTGAGTTGTTGACTTCACTGTTGTATGAATGTTCCTTACTCTGACTGTAATGTTAGTGAGTTGTTGACCACTATTGTATAGATGTTCCTCACTCTGACTGTAATGTTAGTGAGTTGTTGACTTCACTGTTGTATGAATGTTCCCTACTCTGACTGTAATGTTAGTGAGTTGTTGACTTCTCTTGTAGAGATCATGAAAAATTCATTTATCTAACAGTAATGATATTGAGCTGGTTACTTGTTTTATAGAGATCGTGAGAATGTCCTTTCTCCAACAGCAATGTTTGTAAGTTGTTGACATCCTTCTTTTGTTAGGATCATGTGGTATAAATAATTTGAGGGAATGTATTTGAATTAGGAGAATAAACACCACAAAAACTGAGGTTATGAGAACAGGCAGAAAACATAATAACAGGAACGTTCATGTTAACAGTAGTGCAGTCAAACAAGTACAAGAATTAAAATATCTAGGAAGTAGATTTGATAGAGAGATAGAAGCCAGAGTACAGGATGCAAAGGCTGTCACTTACCAGTTAGCCTGACTGCTTAGACACCCATATGTCTCACTTCCAGTAAAACAGCGAATTATTATTAACATCTTCGTCCCTACTTTATGCTATCAGTGCCAAACATGGTCAATGAATAGGGTACTAGAACAGAAAATAACTGCATGTGAAATACACTGTCTCAGCAAGGTCACTAACAACACAAGAAAGGACAAGGTTATGAATACCAGCATTAGCGAGAAAGTTGGAATAATACCATATCTGGATTATATTGACAGACAAAGAATGAACTGGTTCGGCCATCTAGTGAGAATGCAGCCAGACCAAACTGCTTAAAAGATTTTTACAGCAGAACATCTGGGAGAAATGCAAGCGGAAGACCAGGAAAGAGATGGATAAATGGTGTAGCTGAAACTTGCAGACAGATCAACAAAATTATCACCCAAGCCACCCAAGAAGTGCAAGACAAACATAGAAAACCATGACATTGGTATCATGAGATAACAAAAGAAGAGAAGAAGATTTATTTGAATGTAATGATTAACATTCAGAAAGAATGCTTTGTTTATTCTGCCACACCTATTGATGTTTCTTTTATGCTTTTATAGCAGAGCCATTGGAATGGGTTTCAGATCAAAGCTCTCTATATGTCTGTCTTTTTTTCTATGCCAGACATTAATTCCTTATAGCAGACAAATTTCATAAGTGCTATTGAGTTATGGCAAAGGAAAAATAACAGCGACACAAAAAGCAAACTGTGCCAAAAAAAATCTTACATTTTAATCAATAATTGGGGTCGCCGTGGTGTGGTGGTTAGACACTGGCTTGCGGATCGGAAGATCATGGGATCAGGTCCTGATGGAGCCGGACATTTTTTGAAAATGACCTTGGCTCCCAGTTTGACCCAGCCTTGAGTGGGTACCAGGTGCAGTCCTGGGAAGTATAGATGGCTGGCGTGACATAACCCACTGAGTGCCGATTGGTCTATAAAATATAGGTCTAGCCCTATATGCCCAATACGTCTGAAGGTGTGGAAAAGGGCCCTTTACTTTACTTACTTACTTTGATCACCAATGCAATAGTACTACTAAAATATAGTAGAAGTAAAATAAAGGATCCTTCTGCCGCAGTGAATAGGTGATGTGTTTAACATCACGTCAGCCATTTTTACTTGCCAAAACATTTCTGGCACCTATTTTAGACCAGGGTTGACCTGGAAGCCAAGGGCAGTTTTGGAGAGAGAGAAAATAAACCCTAGATATTTTGGCCAACAGGCGTTTGTCTAGCCACTATACCACCAGGGCCAGCAAATGATTGTAATCTATGTTTTACATTGATTTGGCAGTTTTTCTGATATTTATTCTATCTAATCAATCATTTCCAGAAGATGAAGTCCCTTGCAGTCATGAAGTGAGTGCAATTATAGAGGGGCAGCAACTCAGCACTGATGACACCTGCTCAGGAGAGACAAGTGAGAAGGATAATAAGGGAACAGAAACAGAAGTCAGTCTCATTCTCATTAATGGAGGGATGGATACCCAAGGAGAAATATTTGATGATACACTAGTGTTGTTGCTACCAGCAGGAACTCATTAGGAATATTTTTGTTTTGTTTGTTGATGTGTCTTCAGATCTCATTGTATATGGATTACTCGGATATATGTACTTGCTCCTTCTCTTCTTGTTTTCTTTCTCCTTTTTAAAAAATTTTTTATTTTGGCTATTACTTTGTTAGGGAATACATTCGACCCACTCTTGTTAAACTGCACGTGTTACTTGAAAACTTTTGGGTGCCTTGTTTTAGCTGTTTTCGGGGTCGCATGTGACAGCTGCCCACCCAGACTGTACTCCAGATTACTTTGTAACCTGTCAGTGGTATAACTATGCTAAATGACTATACGAATGAATGAGGTTTCTGGGATTTGTACCTGTTTGATTCTCCTCTTTGAGATGTCAAGCCTGCAGAATGCAAATCTGGAGGGAGGAACTTTAAATATTTTTGAAACAAATTTTTAGGGTTTATGTAATTGGCTGCTGCTGGATTGTCACCAGAGTAGTTGCCCTTTTATATACTGAGTGGTAATCTTTCAGAAACATGCATGTAGAAACATATTGTTTGCCCTTCCATGGAAAGTCACAGAAGCACCTGCCTGTATTCTACAGCTGGATTCTTCGTTGTTATATGGTTCCCTAATTTAACTAGTTTATATGCAGAATTAAAGGTAATGACAAGGCAGACAACAAAGAAATTGATTGATTAGTAAGTTTCATGACAATTTAATGCTATCAAGTTGTTTTGATTTTTTTTTTCTGCACTGAATCTCATGTAGAACTCTTGGTCTAAGGTATGGCTACAGTAATTGCTAGTTTTCAAGCCAGGCATTCAACCATTATAGACACACCCCAAATGCTTCCTTATTTAACTTTTGTCATATAACTACAGAGACATATTTCAGATTATAAAGAGCTGAGATACGAACCAGCACCCCAGCAATCAGGACATTCATTCCTATAAGTGTTCCGTCCCTCATCTTTAACAGCCAGCACAGAAATTTTAGAGAAGAAACAATAAATGAAAATGTATCTTTGTTTGCTTTATGTAGTTATGCTTTGTAACAACTTTCTTTAATAGTAAAGTAAAGGACCCTTTTCAACACCTTCAGGCATATTGGGCATGTAGGGCTAGACCTATATTTTGTAGACCAGTCAGCACTCAGTGGGTGATCTGGTCAGTATCACGCCGGCCACCTTTGCTTCACAGGACTATACCTGGGCCTACTCGAGGCTGGGTCGGCCTGGAAGCCAAGGTCATTAAAAATATTTTTTTGTTTTTTAAAGTCTGACTTCATTAGGATCTAAACCAACGACCTTAATCTTCACAGGCAAGCATCTAGCCGCTACACCACAGCGGTTCCTACTTTCTGTAATACTTGCCTTTCCTTTTTTTTTTTTTTTTTTTTTAAATTGGTCACATACAAAAACATTCCAGACGAGAATATAGAAGAAGATCCTAATTTACATGTTACAATAGATTTGCTTTACTTTGCACGTTACATGGCGTAAATATTTGTTAATTTTCTGTATACAAGATATATATTCTATTTGGCAAACATTGGTTACTGTAAACTTGTTTTACCACGTTTCACTGTGATTTTTAAAAATCAAATATGCTTGTAATTGTGTGGCTTCCTTTGACGGTTTTTCCCATACAGAGAGAACTGTTTAAATTTTTTATTTTAGAAAGAGGACAGAGTGTATGGTATATGTTTATCTTATTCTAAAAAAAAAATTGGAAAAACATAAAGTATATATCAATTTAACGGAATTAATTACAGTAAACAAAGAACATTGCAGCTATTAACCTTCACCAGCAGAATGACAGCCTGAAACCAAACACAACACAACAATGATTGGGCTAAAATAACTACTTTATGGTATTCTTCTTCTTCGTGTTCACCTGCTGTAAATTCTGGTGGAAAGTTGTGGTTGTTCCATTTCTGGACTTTAGTCTAGTTAAAGAACTTGAGTTTTGCATGGGCGTCTGTTTTACAGGCCTGGTTTATTTGTGTGCAGACTGTTGCTTGTACATCTCTGAAGCAGATGCACTCCGACTTTGAAAAAAAAAAAAATCAATCAACTTTGTGAAATTCTTGTTTAGGGACAATGGGTCTGTTCTTTTTCCCCTCACCACAATGAGGCCTGGGAACCTACACTGGGGATTATGGTATTAAAATATGTGTACAATAAATATAACAAGAATTAAGGACTGAATAATATAAAGTACATGATACTTACATGAATTGATGCAAATTTTATATTGGAAAGAAAATGAAACATGCATCCCCCTTGTTCTTATGTGTTATGAACAGTATATGGCATGTGGTGTTTAATTTAGAGGTGAAAGACGATCTGTGGCACTCGCCTCAGTTAGGAGAGTTGTTACTGTTGAAAACAAGAGCGTGATCCTGGGTCCTATCCTAGATCAGCAGTAGGGCATGAAAGACTGTTCTCCTGGCTTTTGAACGGAGGTATGAGCATTGCACTGTAAAAGGGATTGGAGCCTCACCACATAATATTTCCATGTACAGCAGCGGATTCACTTGCTTCCATTCCAGTTTGGCAGATCACTGATGCTATGGAAAGTGATTTCTTTCAGCCAATGTTTGCTGATGCAATTTTCCCTATTTTTGGACCTGTAGATAAAAGTTTCATTGACCATCTACTGGGTTGAGTGCTTAGTGCGACACTGAGCTCTGGATTTCATGTGAAATTTGTTTTTCTACTGTGCCTGTGATGGCTTTGGGTTGTGAACTGCACTAAAAACGATGGGTAGCCGATTTTTTTCGGAACAGCAGGTGGCCGATTGTTTACGTTTGCAATAGCATATACTAATACAGTATTGTGTGTATGATGCCGGCTTTCCTAACCGACTACATCAACACTAAGCTATAATTTTGGTGTAGGACTGGTAATGTTGGCACATCTGACAGCAGCCTTGTGCATTTACTTTGCCTGTGCAAGCTTCAAAACTTTGCCGAGCCTGACATGTTTATTGCTTGTTTTTAGATGGAACTGTGGTGATTTTTAATGATTCCCACTGGCACAGGAATAAAGCAGTTATGAGGGCAAATCTGTTTGCAGTGAAGTTATAACCTTGACTAATGACTGACTAATGGATTCGCTTTAGCCAACCTGCATGATATGGCACACATGTTTGTTTAGGTCATAAACTAAGTGTAAAATTAGGGACCTGTTTCAACAACTTGAACCACACTGGGTAAGTGACGATAGCCCTACATGTATAAAAAAAACACTCATCACTTCATGGGCTATGTGGTCAATATCTTGACAGCCACTTTTATTTCCCAGAACATTTCCTAGTAGCAATTTTTAAGCTGGGAGGATTTGAGAATCAATGTCTTTTTTTAAAGTCTACTTTTGATGGGAATTCAGTTTGGCATATAGCAGGGCCATTTAACTAAGTTTGTTCAGGGACCAAAATGTTAAAAATTGAGATCATCACAACATGGGCCAGAGACTCGAGCCCCAGCTCAGAAAGATCATTAGTTAGTTAGCTAGTCAGTCGACAAATTGTCCTCATTGCACATCAAACCATTCAGTCCATAAGTGCTCAGATCCCCTCCCCAGTAAATCCCATAGCAAGTAGCAGCTTACGAAACCAGTCCTGTGTTGGTTTCTTATTCTTCTTTGGCTTCCCGCATAGTGCTCTTGTCTGGCCACACCCCTTTTAACATGCTGTTCTCGCAGTCTGGTCATGGTTGCAGATTTACAGTCACCACCTGGTTCTCGCAAACATCTTACCACTCATAGAGCCTTCGGTATATCAGCATGGTCCATGGCATGTCATGATCATTAATACAATACAAATGGCAGTGATCCGTCGGCCACTTGCTATGCCTCTGCGAGCTGGAGTTAGCACTCGGGTTGCTAGTTGAATAGCCCTGACATAAAGTATCGCTATTTGGCACCAACTTTAGGTATTAGATTTGCCATGTTTTATGTGCTTTAGAGAAGAGCTAAAATGTCTTGGTTTTACTTGAGAGAGAGAAAGAGAACACAAGATATGTGTATTTACTTTAGAGAGAGAGAGACCTGGCTCACTAGCGTAGTAGGTTAAACCTGACTTCGCGGCGACCGGGTGACGAACTCCTTGTGGTCCGGGTTCACGCCCGGGGGTAGATAGAAAAGCCACATTCCTCCTAGATTTATGGTACATATCATGCAGTCAAGGCTGAAGGATTGCGATATCCATATTACCGAGCCAAAGGGTTAAGAACTCTTGGTTTCTGGATACTTTCAAGATGTGTGGTATTTACTTTAGAGAGAGAGAGAGAGGAGAAGATGTGTGGTATTTTACTTTAGAGAGAGGACAAAGTGGATGGTGTCTACTTTATAGAGGGAATAAGATGTGTGATGTTTACTTGAGAGATAAGACTAGGTGGGTGGTATTTACTTGAGAGTGGAAGCCTGACGTACGATAATTATTTAATATGTGACGTTTTATCTGACATACTTTTACCAAAGGATATAATATAATATACCAGTTTTATAGAGGGGATATGGTGTATATGCTGCACAGCATTACGTTTATTTCCAGCATTACTGCTTATTTTTTGTGTGTGTGTGTGCTTGTAAAAGAATTATTTATTTACCTATGCAGGTATTTCTGTCTCAGTGACCTCATCAGAGAAACTACTTGGGTGAAATAAGCCATTTGTTATGTGTAGTGTTGTGCAGACTTGGCTGAGAAGTTATGTATTTAATCCACTGCTGCTTTAACAGGAATATGTTGTGAACTTATTGCATGAGTAGCTGCTTGCTGGGGCAGTTTTATTTATTAGTTCTTTGTTGATATTTTTCTCCCTTATTTGTATTTTAATGTATGATGTGCAGCTGTGAGTATACTGCAAGCTGTATGATGTGCAGCTGTGAGTATACTGCAAGCTGTATGATGTGCAGCTGTGAGTATACTGCAAGCTGTATGATGTGCAGCTGTGAGTATACTGCAAGATGTATGATGTGCAGCTATGAGTATACTACCAGCTGTGTGATGTGCAGATGTGAGTATACTGCAA